ATAAATAACCACTATAACAATTTAGTATATTTCTCTCTAAAGTTTCATGATTAAGTGTAACATTTTTAGGAGTATGCTTTATCAAGCTAAGAAAATTCCTATTTCTAATTCATTAACATGAATAGTGAATTTTATAGAAAGCTCTTTCTAGATCCATCAAGGTGAACATAAAATTCTTTTTAAACGTAAATATGTGGTACCTTACATTAATAGATTTCCTGTAGTTGAATCACCCTGGAATACCTGGGCTAAGCCTCACCTAGTCATGTTTTTGTGGTTTGTTTTTAATAAGCCACTGAATTCTAGTTTCTGATTATTTTATTTTTAACTTTTGCATCTATATAAGTGAGACTGGTTTAAACTTTTACTATTCTTGTTTAACTGTGGTATAAAATGAGTTGGGTAAATTTTCTTTATTATTAGAGTTAAGGAAACTCATGATTAGGATTGGGTTTTTTCTAATTCTTTGCTGTTATAAACAATACTGAAAGGAACATCAGAAACTTCTGACCATATTCTTGATTGTTCCCTTAGGAGTAAATAGCAAAATGTGATTACATAGTCATCAAAGCATGACCTTAGGAAAGCCCTTATAATTTATGCTTATGAAAATAATATGTTTTGCATTCCTACACATTAATGTATAGGAATGGAGTTTGGATGTATATTATAAAATTGCTATTTTAGACCTTATAGTCCCCTCTTTTAACATTACAGAATTCCATCTCCACTGCAGTTTCGACTTTGCTTTATTGTAAATATGTATTGAAAACCATTTTTTCTCATGTTTGATTCTTTACTTAAATATCAATTGTCATTCTGATTTTATGACTGAATTGCCCTGTCTCCCATTCCTCAGTGTCAAAAATGTTTGAGATGAAAAAGCTTCGTGAAACTTTATTGATATTATTTAGCTGACTGCAGCTTAAATCCTACCCCTGAATTACTTTGTGTTACCACAAACAGTGGGAAGGAAGCAGTAATGACATGTATCTGTAACTAGTTTCTAAACGTTCAGAGGCAAAGCTACAAAGGCAAGAGCAGGTGAGGGGAGTGGGCAGGGGCATAAAACCAGGACTATGTTTTGGCCTTAACTTTAATCCCACTCTAATATTAGTGGGTGGAGGGGAAGAAACCATTAAGAGTCAACAAAAGGATTCTTTTAACAGAAAACACTGGCCATTTTTTAAAATTAAGTAACTTATGATTCATGTTCATCGACTGAATTTATTTGTATTTTTAGGTTTGTAAAATCTTAAGGTATTTTATTAATCACCTTACTTGCAATTTTAAGTAAATGAGTTTACATTAAACCCACTTTGTATCACATTTTAAATGATTCTGTTTAAACTATGTTTGGTGTTATCTTGATAACACTAAGGTCAGAGGTTTGGATCCCCTTACCAGCCAGCCACCAAAAATAAATAAATAAAAATAAATAAACTATGGTTTGGATTTATCCATATGGACCTTTTCCACCCCCACTCCCCATCTTGTATACTCTACATAAATAAGAGTTGACTAACTTCCAACTAAAGTTCCTTATGTTTAAGGATATTCAGTAGTTAAGAAATGTCAAATAAGAAACAAAATAACTGTTCTACTACTAAAAACAAAGCAAACTTTCTATGAGGGTACTTCGAAAAGTTCATGGAAAAACAGAGTTAAAATATGAATCTTTCCATGAAATTTTTGAAGCACCCTAATATATAGCACCATACTACAGTGTAAGAAGGTAAAGAATTTTAATACACAATCTATACTGACAAATCTAAATTTCTGCAACATTAAAAAAAAACACCAAATAGGTACACAAGTTTCTAAACTTCAAGAACTTTTGAAAATGAAAAACAAGATAATGGACAACCATCACTTCACATTAATTATGCAGGTAAAAGGGTAGGAAAAAAACTTTTTAGTGATGAAGAAGCTTTAGAATTATGAAGACAGATCTCTAAAAGAGCCTGTAAAAAGAATGGAAAAGAAGTAAAAGAAATGTGGCTAAGGTGACCTCCATAGGGGAAACACCCACATGGATCAGTTTTAATCATCAGGCTGCTACCTGCTGTATTTCCTTAAAAGACTCTACTCTCAGGCTCTGCTGTGTATAAAACCTCACTGCAATGGCAATTTGAGCCTTAGATGAAGCTTGCAAAAACGTGGCTCCATCTCTGCCTCTATCACACAGCTCCCTTTGATGAAGCGATAACCTACCACCTGGTCTCCCTGCCTCCACTCCTGACAGCCTCACAACCAGTTTCCTCACACAGCCAGATTCTGTATTTAAAATTAATCTGACTTCTGCGCCTCCTGAACCTAAGACTCTTCAGTGACTCCACCCACACCCAGTCACACTCAGGTTAAGTGTGAACTCCCTAGCACGGCCCACTGTGATTCCTTACTACCTATGCAGACTCAACCCTGCCATCTCCCAGCCCTCACTTTATATTCTTAAGGACACCAGCTTGCCTGGAACCCTTCACCAATCCTCCCCAACCTCCACAATCTACATACCACAGTGCTACTCTTGAGTAAATGGGCTTCTCCTGATTAATTCCTCCTTTACGCCACCAAGACTCAACTCAGGGGCCAACACCAGTATTCTTCCAGAAGGAAACTTTCTACAAGTCTCCTCTGCACACAGCTCCCTTAGCATATGACTTTCATAACACTCACCACACCTTATGAAATTACCCTTTTTTTTTAAAGTTTACCTTCCTTACAAGAAAGTAAGCAACTCGAGAGCAAATCACACAAGAGCATATTAGGTCTCCTCTGCACACAGCTCCCTTAGCATATGACTTTCATAACACTCACCACACCTTATGAAATTACCCTTTTTTTTTAAGTTTACCTTCCTTACAAGAAAGTAAGCAACTCGAGAGCAAATCACACAAGAGCATATTAGGCACGTAGTAGGCATTTATAAATATTTACTCAACAAAACGCCACACACTACACAATGAAAAATGAGCAAACATGGCTTGACTTATCCTTAGCCAAATTCACCAGCAACTCCTGTCAGGTCAACTTCCAAAACACATGCTGAATCTGTTCACCTCATGTGCTAGCATAGTCACCATGCCCGCCCAACCTCTGTCATTCACACTTAGGCTCCGCTTTTCATAGTCACACTTAGGCTCCCCTTTTCATATAGCTTCCTGACTACCA